AAAAAAAGTTTTAAATAGGTGCGCTTCATATTTGCACTTATAATAAAATTTATATATAAAAAAAAATATTTTGTTTAGATAACTTATGATTTGTTTATTAATTAATAAAATGATTTATGTATTAAAATATAAAAGTTTAACATTTTAATAAATTCTTCTAATAGTTTATGCAATAAGAAGCCAAATATATATTAATGCTATTTTTGTTAAATTTGGCAAATATCTTCATTTTTCCTTCCAATATTCATTTAGATCTAAATTTTCTTCAATGTTTTACTCAAACTACAATAAGTTGCCTATTCTAATATAAGATCTACTGAAAGATTTTTAAATTGAGAAATATTTGATATAATATAAGATCATGTCTATTAACTATAATATAAATATAAAAAGAATCAAAACATTAAATTGCTTTAAAGAGAGAATAAGCAGAATGTAAATTAATATGTTTTTTAAATTTAGCTAAAGAAAGTTTAAAAGTTTCAGAAAAAATTAATTCAAAATCTTTAATTTCTAAATTTGAATTTTGTAATTTATAAATCATTTCTTCACTAAAAGGTGAATTATTAACACCATTTTATAAAAATACATGTATATAATTTAATCTTAGTATTACAAATAGTGCTAAAGGTTTTTTTAAAATTTTGAAAAATTTCAAATCAACTATTAGCCTATAAAATATATATATTTAATTAGTTTAAAAATATATAATATAAAATAATATTATAATAATTATAATAAATAATTACCTTTTAGCATTTAAATTAATAAATATAATTAAAATTTCTAAATATAAAATTTTATCAGGTTGTTGAAAAATAGTATCTAATTTACTAATAACCTTATTATTTTTATCAATTTGGTTTTCTTAAGAAATAAAGATTATAAAATATTAAATATAAGAATTTAACCAAATTATAAATTTGAACCAAGAATGCCATCTAGTTTTAACTAGTAATGATAGAAGTATAATTTTTGTAAAATATGAACTAGGAATATTAGATTTTAAATGCAAAAGCCTTTTCTTTTTTTTGTTGCAAAATATGAAAAATAGTTTTTAAATTTGAAGCTACTTGATCAAATAATTCAAATTTTTTAAATTTAATCCATATTTTACAAATTAAATTAAAAATATATGCCAAACAGATATTATGATATAAAGTAGATATTAAAAGAGAAGGTATATCAGAAAAAGCTTTAATCTTATAATTTACATTGTCAGAAATTAAAAAAATAATATAATCATAAAGAATTTAATAAAAAAATAGAATTAAAAATAATTTGAGAAATTGAACTATAATTAACTACTTCTAAAAAATATGTTTTAACTAATTTTATTTGATTTTCATAGCTAGATAAAATATTACGACTACAACTATCTGTAGTTTTTCTACAGTTATAGAAATATATTTTTCTACCAAATTATTTTTTAGATTATTAACTTCTATTTCATAAAGATATAATAAATAGTGTAATTTTATATTAACTTTTATTATTTAATTACAATCTTTATTATTTTGAATCATATATTTATTTGCTATTATAATTTTAGAAATATACTAAAGTAAAAATATATTTTACACTAGAGGATATTGATATTCACCTCCAAATTTATTATAAAAATAGTTTTTTGCTAAAATTTAGAGTTAGAGTACAGTTTAATACCAAATTAGAGATCAGATATAATAGTCTTAATTTTAAATTATATAAGGTTTTGAAGGTTCTAAACATTTTACTTAGTATATTTGACCCTGTTTCTTAGTCATATTTTTGAGATTAATAGTTTTTATTAAAATTTAGAGTTAGAGTGCAGTTTTACACCAAAATAGAGTAAGATATTTTGGTCCAAATTTAGATTACACAAGGTTTTGGGATGTTTTGAACATTTTTACTTAGTACACCTAACTCTGTTTCTTATTCAAGTTTTTGAGATATAGCACCCTGAATATCAATATTTCTCGGTATAAATTAAATATTTTTTATACTAAATATATAAATATATTTTTTAAATTTTTAATTAAAATATTGTAAATATATATATATTTTCTATGCTTCTAAAACTTAATTAAGCCAATTAAAAAATATATACTATACTTAAGTTTAAAAAGATAATAAACTTGCAAATAGTCCAAAATGCTGTTGTTTTATCACTATATTATTTTGTAAACTACAGCCATTCAAGAATTACAAATATATAAAAAAAACAAATTTTTTTTGTTAAAAATCTAACTTTTTAAAATAAATATCCAATTACAGCAAGTACAACTACAATATATACAAAATATTCCAGTAAACTATTTATCAAAATAAAATTAGTCACATATCCTCCATATATCAAAATTACTATAAAATCAGTATCTTTTACTTACCTTTTTTTAGCTTTTTTAAATCGCTTATGTGATTTCACATTAACAGGTGGTGCACAACCAACATTTAGCCATTCAAGTACCGAATAGTGGCATTCTCTTAATGGCAAAACTTGCTTATTTGTACTGATTCTAATGTAATTTGATGAGTTTGTCATTTGGTTTAATGTGGATTTTCCTGAAGCTGACGAAACAGCTTCGTGAATGAATTCAGCCGTGCGATGAAGTGAAAACATAGCTAATTCGTTGAATCCGAACATCTGTATATTTATTTATTAAAAATTTTAATTGTGAAAATGATTATGTACACTGGTAAATGTAAGAAAATAATATACCTGGAACATATGGGGCATTTCTTCATAAATTTCAAGAATGACATTTGTAGGTGTTTTAAATGGTGATTTCTCAAACTTGCCAGCATTATATATTGGCAATAAATACTTTGAAGGTTGACTAGCTTTAAATGCAAAATAAATAATCTCATCACGTAATCTTTCTCCATCACCCGCAGTCTATAGTATCATGTATAAATTATACGATCGACCAGATTGAATGTTTAAATGGTAATAAAAAGAAATACATACCAACAATATGGGTGGCAATCCACCCAGACTTTCGGCACACAAAGGACTACAAAATGAATGGTTAAGATAAAGAAAACTGGATTCATTTATACTTGATATTACGATCACTCTTACCTTACATAAGGAACTGACACAGCCTCATTAGCAGCATAAAGTTGGACTCGAGCTTCTCGTTCAAAAGAATTGTGCCATATCTTTGGTTTATTTGATTGTTTTATTTTTTTAGAGAGTGCAGCGGATCTTTCAAGGAATTTCTCCAAAGCTTGAGAAGGATGAAATTGTAAAGTGTGAGGTGGAAGGTAATCAGATTTGTCGCAGTCTCTGCTTAAGATGGACGGCATACTATGTGTTAGATCAACCCATGGTGACTAGGAAATGCATAAAAAATTTCATGATTCATGTGTTGATTTGAACGTTAGCATATAAATAATATATATATATATGTATATATGAATGCTAACCCAACCAACAGCGCCAGCAACCATCGGTAAACCAGTATCGCGTAGTGCCAGTAATGTAGCAATGGTAAGACCGCCCCCGGCACTATCACCCGCTATTACGATCTGTTTAGGATTAATAGCGCTGAAACCAGCATCTTTTGGTGGATCAGTAAGATATAAATAAGCAGCTAGTGCATCATGTAAGGCCGCAGGAAATTGATTTTGAGGAGCCAATCGGTAGTTAATAGCTTTGGTTATGTAATAATTGATTGTTATATTCTGATCGTTGTAACGTATTAATATTAAATATCAAACTTTCATTTTACTCACCAAAGGCATGGGCATCGGCAGCTTTTGCAAGGCCCGAAATGATGTTACGATGAGTCCCAATACTACCAAGAGCATAAGCACCACCATGGAGATATAAAATTACTCTTTTATCTTCCTTTAGCATAAAACCATTTTTTTTCACGTAAATCCATTCTGCACTTAATTCCTCTAGTTTATCGAATTTATTCCATTCATAAAACCCGTCTTAAGTATAACTACTCAAATCATTTACATAATCGTATTGGCAATAATTTTAAACCCTGTGCGTAGACGGTCTTGGTGGTTATGCTAGGTTCATCATCTCCATATCGTGTACGTACGTACGTATAACGTAAAATATACTTGTGGCGCAACTATTTCGGCTTATTCGAAATAGTTACGACGTAAGCTGTAGTTTCGACTCCGGCCGAAATAATTTCGATATGTATAATCTTGAGAATTGGCTACTAAGCAGAATCGTTAATAATCAATCAAATGATCAAATTACTTAAATTATTTAAACCCTTATTATTATTAATTGTATATTTATGTGAGCAACCTAGCCATTTTCGTTCTTGTTATTTGGTCACTTCAAATACATAATACACAAATTTTACTCATCTATCGAAGTTTGTGTATCACGTATTGGAAATAACCAAACAAATACAGGAAATGGCTAGTGCTCACATCAGAATATATATTCATTTATTCGGATAACGATAATCGGTTATTATTAACATGACCAATAATAAGAGTTGTGACAAATATTACGCAATTTTTTTTTTTTACTATACTCCTTCCCTCAACATAAAAGAAATTTTTAAAAAATTTTATATTATTTTTGAAGGCCCTCTCAAGATATTACGTAATATTTGTCACTACCCTCCTAACTAGTTCAGGACTGTACTGAGACCCGGACCGGACCTAATGCTGCCAAATTTTTTTGGCGTGCTAAACTAGTTGTGACTTTAACCAATCATGTTCCGAAGTTTTGATTAATTTGGACCATTTGGATATAGATCTTGACCCTAGTACTAATCGATTTCATTACCTCAAAAAATAATTTTAAAATTTAAGTAAGTAGATCCAATCTGTTTTTGGCATCTTTAATCGTGACGTAATATCGATATTTTCGCACGTTACGTTTTTCGGGAAGTTTTTTTTTTGCAGAACGTGAACTAATATAAATATGTATATATGCATACTTTAAGTTGGCATTATCGATATTTTATGTAACACAGTCATTTGAATTTAAAAGAATAAATGCGTAAATTGGGTTGGCTCCAAAAAAAGAGTACGAAGAAATTCTTCTTTTCATGTGAAGACATTATCGACGACAAAGTGTTCTATATCCGTACTCTGCGCTTCTTTATCTTTCCATATGAACGGATCTTCTTTAATCAAACGGTTGAATGGTTTTACCGGTCTTAAATACGAATTAGTGGTATAAATAGACTAGAGAAACTCCAAAAGTTATCTTTCAATGTAATAAAAATGGTCGATACAATTAAATTCATTTTGCCAAAGATTCCTACCTTAGTTTCTACATTA